ATAGATAGGAAATCATTACTTTTCATCTCAGTAAAATTAAAATGTATGTTCTAAGGTTGAGCAAAAAATATTGTATTCGACATCATTTCTCAAGGAGATTTTACCAATGTATAAATTGTTTTAATTAGAAACCAACTGAAAAATATGTAGGTAATAGCCGCTTTCATAGATGGCGTTGTAATTAAAATCGTGTCGAATCAGTTTTACTCGATCGTCACAACTTCGTTCCTATCGGGTGTCCCACGACACCACACGGCTTTTATACATAGAAAACTCCGAAACAAATATTTGCAGATGATGCAGACATTAGTCCGTGTGTTAACGGATTAAGAACACGGAGTGGCATCATCCCTATACATCCCGTGGGTGTCGTAAGAGCCGATTAAGGGAGCAAACTACGCAGGACAACATCACTGCAAAGACAAGAAAAACTTGACACAAACCATATACCAACCCGTCTGGCCAGAGTGGTATAGTAAATCAAAACTCCTTTCTAAGAAGAGCTATGTCCAGCAGTGGACTCTTATAAACTATTTATGATGATTAACATATTTCCTCAGGAAAATTACCAAGGTAAAAGACATAGCAAAAACCATAATGACCCAAAAATGGAAATGGGCTGGGCATGTCCAAAGATCACCAGGGAACAAATGGTCCACAATTGTCACTAATTGGTACCATATTCACAAGAAAAGACGGAAAGGAAGGCCATTCAAGAGATGGAGTGGTGACATAGTTTCCACGGTGGAAAATACCTGGAGCAGACTGGCAAGAGACAGAGCGAAATGAAAGGAAATGGAGGAGGCTTTCACCGCCAAAGCGGTCCTTACAACAAAACACGTTAACGCAGTTTAATAACATATACTAACAAACTAGAATAAGTATAATACTAACACTACAAATAATGTTTAGAACTAATGTAAACTATGTGTAAGGAATAAATAAAGCTTTTATTATTATACTTTTTAACATATTTCCTCTGTTTTTCCTACAGTCTGTGTGCGTGATTTCATGAAAAGACACGGAAATGCGTAACTGAAAGCCAGAGAACCGTCGGCTCTTTGATTTGGCTGATGAGCGCACACGGATTCCCAGATTGGACATAATTTCAAAGGGTTTTTGTAGAGGAAAAATAGCCGAAGTTACTTCTTATATAGACAGCTACCTGTTAGTAAAATATTAACAAAATCGGTCCAGCCCTTTTTAAAATTACCGGAACAAAGAGACAGACAGACAGACAGACAGACAGACTGACTGACAGATACATCATCATCACATCACATCAACAGCCTTTAATAGTCCACTGCTGTACGTAGGCCTCCCCTTAGAAAGGAGGTTTTGGCCTACTGACAGACAGACAGTCAAAAATATTTAAACTAGTTTGCATGAAAAAAAAACCTATTATTTTGACATTACAGACACTTCAATTTTATTTAATTGATATATGCTACGTTAATTTATCTCGATTATATTTAACCTCATTTTAGTAAACTATATCCAAAAGCCATATTTCCCTCTTTAAAAAAAAAAGCCGATAACATTGTACAAGACCTGAAGAAGATGAAGACCTCCAGTGCACCTAATCACACATTTCAGCACCATCCTAAGGTAGACTTTAAGAAAATACCCGTGGCATTAAGTCCGCCATTGTGTAACTCATACTTTTGCATATAGTAATAAAATAAGATTTAAACAGTAAAACTCCTGATAGTGCTGTGCTCGACAGGATCCATAATTGTTTCTGTTTACAAGCTTACCACTTATAAATGTAAATTATGGAATAATTTTTTATAATTAAATTATTTATTGGAATAACTAAGACTCGAGGATGTTAGCAACAATTTGAACTCACAGCTATATTAGTATGTGTGTATGGAATGCAATTAATTGAATTGAATTATAAAATAATTGTGTATCCGCATGATAGATCATGTTTTTCTTATAATCACGATTATTCGAGATAAATCTATGTAGGTAACTTGGCGGTCTCGGTAGTAAACTAAAGGTTTTTCAAACACGATTGCGTACAGCATATTTACGTTTGAACTTCCGCGAATAGTTTGTTTACACTCTGTTGATGTAAGATGTACTTGAAATCTTGTAACATACAAAGCAGAGTTTATTGAGACTGTGATACTAATCAATATTGATACAGTCGTAGTTATAACACATCATAAAATATTTAATTGCCTTAATAATTGTGGCAATTTGTAAAATATTTGTTTAACAATCAATAATGTAATTAACGTGACGTAGTGTAGGACGCCCTCAGGTCGGGTGGAGTGACGATTTGCGCAAGATGGCTGGCAGGAGCTGGATGCGAGAAGCCCATAATCAATCTAAGTGTAATTACTAATAAAGTTTTTTTTTGATAGTGTATTCTTTTTTTATTATAAACTACATCCGCACTTTCAAACTTATTTTAGATTTTATTTTAATACTTTATGCACAAGTGAAGGTTGTACCATGGCGGACTTAATGCCACAGGCATTTTCTCCCAGTCTACCTTAAAGTGGTGCTGAAATGTGTGCCTAGGTGCACTAGACAATGATGTGTAAAGTAAGACAAAATTATTGAGAAGTTAGACAGAAACAGTGAGATACATACATACAAACGTACCAAGTACATACATAAACATATATACTTACCTAGTTACATACATACATAAACCTACAGACTTCGACTCGTACCTGACCGATTTAGATATTTAGATTTAGAAATATATAAATATGTTTATCAGCAGTATGGTAGCCATAGTGCATATGCTCTGCATGATCTGGGATCAGACTATTGTTTTTGTTTGTTAGATAATGAACACTATGATTTTAATAAATTATAATTTGGGTCTCTGGGCTACCAGATATACTTTATTACACCGTTTTAGAAAGTTAAGGAAACATTTTTAGAATATACACAAAACTTAGCTTTCTACGACTTTTTCTACTAAATATGATAATTTATATCGATTAAAGGTTCAATAAAACAATTTTTAACTCATAACATTTACATATTATATACATATACTCACGCCTTTTACAAGAAGGCGTAAGCAAAAGCGTAATAAGCCGCCTCGAACCGAGTGAGTGTAGTTCATCAACAGCCCGTAATAGTCCACGGCTGGACATAGGCCTCTCCTTAGAAAGAGGGTTTCGGCCTACTATACCACGCTGGTCAGATGGGTCGGTATAGGGTTTGTGTCAAGTTTTCCTTTTTTTGCAGTACTGTTGTCTTGCGTAGTTTGCTTCTTTAATTGGCTCTTACGACACCCACGGGATGAATAGGGGTGGTGACACTCTGTATTCTTAATCTGTCACCACACGGATACTGGACAACAACGTTTCTGGAAATACTGGACCCCTAAAGTCTTATATTGTGGCCGTTTTTAAATAATTTTATTACATACAGACCATACAGTGTACCTTAATATAACGAACCTCAATATAACGACTTCCTCGATTTAACAAATTCTTCGTAATCCCCTTGAATTATCCATAAGAGGCAATGTAAAATATACTTACACGTTTTTTTTTCGTAAAACAATCAGTGTTGCTTGTCACTATTCTTAAAGATTCTAGTTGCAATGGCTCAGAAACTTAAAAGGTGTTATGCAGAAGCAGATGAAGGCGAGGAAGAATGGAGGTAAAATTGATGAACCAGACTTTACAATTAAAGATGCTCGTAATGCCCTGAAATATAATAAAATCTGTGTTTCTCAAAAAGGGAGGTTTATTGCGTTTTGGATGTGATTACTCTTACCGGTGGTAAACAGACAACAATTTATGACTTTTTTGCAAATCAAGATGAACAAACTTAAGATTAAGCTACCATGACCACATTGTTTATTTTTTACCTTTAATTCGTGAGTTTTGTTGTGCGCATCTTTGAAATTAACATTAAATGACCTACACAGTGTATGAACCCACCTTCATACTTACTTTTACGGATTTTACTGCATTTAATTTTGATTATTAATCTGTGGGAAAAAAAATTTACCTTCCTAATTGTTTTTAAATAGAAAATACATACAACAATTTGATAAACATGTGCTATAACAAAATGAGTACGTAATGTTGAGGTGAATTAAACTATTTTTTTACCTCTTCATAACAAATTTTAGACCAAACCTCAGTTTAAAGAATTACTTGATATAACGAATATTTACTTGTTCCCTTCGGATTTGTTATATCGAGGTTGCACTGTATTATTTAAAAATGTTACCTAAATGCCTTCTTCTGCATATAATCATTAAGTATTCCAAATATAATATGTTTTCGTGCGCCATTTTTGTTTACAATTAATAATTAAATAAATCAAAAATCTGGAAAAGGAAAAATTTAAAAGTAATGCAGTAAAAGACGGTGACGGATTAAGAATACAGAGTGTCACCACCCCTACTTATCCCGTGGGTGTCGTAAAAGTCGACTAAGGGAACAAACTACGCAGGACAACAGCACTGCAGAGAGAAGGAAAACTTGGCATAAACCCTATACCAACCAGTCTGGACAACGTGGTGTAGTAGGCCAAAACCTCCTAACTAAGGAAAGGCCTATGTACAGCAGTGGACTAGTAAAGGCTGTTGATGATGATGATGATGACACTAAAAGACCGAAACAGTACAAGGTCCGAGACAAACATTGCCCATTCCAATAATTGAACCCCAAGAAGAACGACAAGCCGCTTCAAGAAAAGGTAGGTAGTGCGTAGTCCCTTGCGCTTCGCTAGGCTCGTCTCGGCAGGCTAGGGGCATTGCCGTGCCAAGCAGAGAAAAAGGGCTGTCTCTGAAAAAACCTTTGTTGTTGGAATTCCCAAATATCTTTCGTCTCATACTGTGTACGAAGGAAGATTACAATCCCAAGGACGGTAGGCGACAGGTAGGTGGCCGGCCATCAAAGAAAAACCCAAAAACCATTTGGGGAGAATGGGGATTTTTGAAAAAGGGTAGGAATATGATGACGATGGTAGAGTAGACTTTCAGATATTGTATTTAGTCCAGGACATACCAGGTACTCCTTCGATGTCATACGTGATCTGTCTCCAGGCGAACACCTCCTCAAATTTGCCGATCCTACGGCTGTTCTGGGCTATCGAGGGTACGGTCAGCAAGACAAAATACTGAACGAAGAGTAACAGCTTCATTTTGATCTGAAACAAAGTTTAATAATAATAAATACTCACATAGCACACAGTCCGTGTGGTGACGGATTAAGAATACAGAGTGTCACCACCCCTATTCATCCCGTGGGTGAAAACAGCACTGCAGAGAGAAGTAAACCTTGACACAAGCCCTGTACCAACCCGTTTGCCAGAGTGGTATAGTAGGCCAAAACCGCCTTTCTAAGAAAAAGAAAAAAAGGGTATAAGCGATACTGGACTCGTCTACAGTAGCGCCATCTAGACTCAAAGTTAGAGAAGCTTGACTTGACACTTCTGTAGGACTGTTGGTTTGTAATCCTGACTGCCGAGCATGTAGTCGTGGGTTCGATGCCCAGCATATCACTGGATATCCGAGAAAGAAAAAGGATCTGCATCCATTTGGTTATTTTGGCGGATTTAATTTATTTTATAACCTTTGGCACAAGAACATGCATCGATAGACTTAATACCTAAGGCATTCTCTGCCAGGCGATGCTGAGAAAGAATGAGGTAGGCGCATTTAAGGGGGGGGGGGGGGGAATAAATTATAGTGGTTTTCTTAAATACCAACTATCTTAGAATTTAGTGTATACGTCTGAATACCACACATATACACATACTTACATAGACACATACATATATATATACGTACATACACATATATACATATATATTCATATATACTGTTATATATACTGTATATTTTAGGCGATGAACTAGGAGCTCGTTAAATGTGCCATTTTACTCAGCAAAGCTCTTTCACTTTCGTCTTAATGTCTGTTTCTTCCGGGTAATCTTCAAAATGGCTCGACCGATTTTGATAATATTTTGCGACCAGGTAGCTGTCTATATCAGGAGTAACTTAGGCTATTATTTCTGTAAGAAAAACCCTAAAAAACTACGTACTACACCAAAAAGCAGCGCTTTTTAAATTCCACGCCAACCAAGTCGCGGGTACCAGCTAGTTTAGTTATAAAATAATTTTTTACTCTGTTTACAGTTCCTACAGATACTGTTAAAACTGTGTAAATAATAACTTTATTGTATACGTATTCTTTTGGATTTCGAGTTGAAAAAAGGAAAAAACTTGTCTATTAACTATTGTCTGTGCATATATTCACTACTAGCTGAGACCCGCGGTGTTACCCGCGTTTGTTGTTATAACCGCGGGCAACGCCGCGGGGCGAAGCTAGTCTAAAAAGTAGCCTGAGTTACTCCTTATGTCATCAGCTATCTGCCAGTGAAAGTCCCGTCGAAATAGGTCCAGCCGTTCCAGAGATTACCCGGAACAAACGGACAGACAGACAGACAAAAATTGTAAAAAATGTTATTTTGGCATATGTACCGTGTAAACATACATATGCATTTACTAAAAAGCGGTTATTTTAATATTACACTCCAATTTTATTTTTTTGTATAGATTTAGTTTGTAGTTTGCGAGAATTAGGTTTAGGTTTAAATAACTTTATTATACTAAGAACGTTACAGTCTACTTAGTGACCATAATATAAAAAATATAGTTATAAAAAACTAAAAAACACGCGTTCTATTGAAAACCAAACTAAAAAATAGAAAATAAATTTGAAAAAAAGCGTGGAGTACTTTTTACTATTGTCAACAGGCACCCAACGCTTTTTTTCAAATTTGTTTCTATTTTTTAGTTTGGTTTTCTGTAGAAAGCGTGGTTTTTAGTTTTTTTAATTAGTGTACGAGTATTGTCATCGGTCCTCGATATATCTACAAAGTTTGAACGAATTCTGACCGTTTAAAGTCAGTCAAAATCACGCCCAAAAGAGTCGGTTACAAACATACAAACAAACATACAAGTGAATCTAATATAAAGCGTGTAATAAACAAAGTAATAACCAGGCCCAGCGATCGTAGGTTTCTAAATCAATGACTCAAAAAAGTTATTATGCGAGCATTGTCTTATGTTTTGTGTACTCACACGACATTTTATTTTGTACATATTATATTTGTAGGGAGTCCGTTATGGTTAATCACTACAGTAAGCATTAGATTGCACCATATACATCAACATTAGTCCATATTATGCGAGCACTTTTGTTACTTTATGTCTAGTATGAATCAAAAATGTCCGGTAGTTTGAAAATTCCAACTAGATTACGATGATTAGGTACATTATAATTTATATTATCTATGAATAGAAAGTTGTAAATTTCAATTTAAAAAAGATAAACAAATCAAATCTGAAGTATTGACTTTGAATGCTAATAAATTTAAAAATTAACAGAATACTTACATTTAATTTGCAGTAAATACGAGTAAAACAAAATCTTGAATAAAAACAGTCTTTCACTTAAATCTCCATTAACTTTCTTTTAACTTAAAATACACAATAAATGATAAAGTTACCGTAATAAATAAATAAATAATCAACATCAACACACGCCTATCAATGGCGAAGATGCTAGTGATTTAGAAGTGACCTGCGCTTTACATAGTGATGTACGTATCGAGATTGGAGTTTATCGATAAAATAGTTTTTCAAGTCAAGTAAGTTAGTTTTTCAAGTTTTGCTGTTTAGTTTTTCAACTTCCTCTCAGGAAGTGACCTCAGTCACTTCCTGAGAGGAAGTGACCTCAGTTGAACTCTATAGAACCTAAGATAAGCAAAACTATACAATAGTGACAGTTCAACAATTACTTACTGAATAAATTATAGTTTAGGAAAACGAAATAAAAACACTCTTTAATCGAGTAAAAACTTTTAATCGAGTAAAAAAAAATAATCGAGTAAAGAAAGAGAATCAAATTCATCATCAACAGCTTCTTACAATTAATCAGCACCCTCAAATGGACTGTGCTGGACATAGGCCTCCCTTGGAAAGGAGGTGTTGGCCTACTACACCACACTGGCCAGACGGGTTGTTATAAAGTTTCTTTCAATTTTTGTTCCTTCAAGTGCTGTTGTTCTGCAGAGTTTTGCTCCCTTAGTCGGCTCTTACGACACCCACGAGATGAATAGGGGTACTGACACTGCGTATTCTTAATCCATTACCACACGTACTCGTCATCTTCTACAATTTGCTTAAATTTATTTTGGGCTTGTTGCAATGAGTTTTCTTCTTCTATTCTCCTTAATCACTCCTCGAAATTTAACCCAGAAGCAAATTGGGAAGTAAAACAAAGTAGAGTTACTAGGCTATCCACTTCATGATTCCTACCACTTTGTTCGATTTGTCAAAGCAATGTGACCCCACACTCGAAGACTTTACTAAAAGCCGCGTTGAGTTCCTCTATCCATTTCCAGTCTCATTAGATTAGCCATAACATGCTAAAATATTGTACTTTCCACCCAAAATATACTTACAAACCTTACCTTACCTTACCGACACATACAAAGTTTGATTTCGATGTGACATCTAGAAGTAGTAGGTTAACATTGATTTCCAACATTTATTTACTTTGTTAGTTACTAATAAAAGCGTGTTGATTGTCATTGACACATATTTGACCAATACTAAGTGATTTGCATTAAAAATATTTTGTGACTTATAATGGTGCTGGTGGTTTTTAATAATTTACAGTGAAAATATTGACCTGTCTAACTTTTTTAATAAACAAACGAGCTGTATATCTATCCAGTTAATTTTTGGGATAATAAACCGATTTACTTTCTATTTACACATGAATATTTGTGTAATTTAATAGAATTTACAGATAATAAAAGTATTTTTGCTAGATGTGTTAGGTTATTATTAATAAATTAGTATTGATATCAATTAATAAACACCTTAAATACAAAAAGTACAACAAATGTATACTATGTAAAACTATCACTATCTTTTATATATATATATATATAAAACTTTAATTTCCTCTTTTTACCTATTTCCTAACACACAAGCCGTACATCTGTCCCTTCATGTTTGCCTGTAAGACATTGCCTCTGAGCGATAAGGCCGCCATTTGTACTTGTCTAACCTAACTTAAGTTATTTATTGTATATTTATACCTGGTGTACATTAAAGCATCCTTATTATTATATTATAATGGTTACTAATGAAAGCCAATGGACGATAATATTTGTTTATTGCATTCGCAAATCTATTCAATATCTTTAAAACATATTATGTCATACAAGTACTAAAATGGCGCTACGATGCATTAAGTATAAAGAATTACTAAAAAACCTAATGCAAATGACCTACGACCATAATTTGGAGTTTAGAGTATGCCTTTAAAGATAAGTCTACAATAATTTTATCGATATTTAAACGATAGAGGTACATCACTAATGTCCTTAACCGAGAGTTTCTGTAATCATCTGGATTATCGTGGTTCCGGTTAGATGTTTAATTTGTTTATAACGAATCTATTAAACAATAAAAAAAACAAAAAAACCGTAAAATATGCATTTTCGAAATTATCTATTTTTTTGAATAACTAAAAACAAATGCCAGGAATGCGTTATTAAAACGTAAATGAAGTTTTCACAAGTTATTACTATTTAATTGACTTTAAGCGGGGTTCGATCCCCACATGGGACGACACTTTGTGTTATCCACAAATTGTTGTTCTGAGTCTGGGTGTTCTTTGTGTCCATTTCATGTATGTTTGTAAAGTCCCACGCGACACAGGATATACCATTTGTGTCAAGTTTTTCTTCTCTTTGCGGTGTAGTTTGCTCTCTTAGTCGGCTCTTACGAGACCCATGGGATGAATAGGAGTGGTAACACTCCGTATTCTTAATCTATCATCACGTGATGTCACCGTACACATACAGTATATTTAAAAAAATGATTTGGTAACATTGTTTTTTTAGGGTACCGTATCTCAAAAGGAAAAAACGGAACCATTATAGGATCACTCTGTTGTCCGTCCGTCCGTCTGTCTGTCTGTCAAGACCCTTTATATAGGGAACGTGGTATCAAGTTGAAATTAACACGATATACTCAGGTCCACAGTCTTTTAAAGCTGTGAAAAAATAAAACTTTTAACTAAACGTAAAAAAAAGATACGGCCATTTATGCCGCAATAAACGTATATTTCGACACTCAAGGGAATCAAAAATTATAGGGTGTTTTCAGTTGACCTAGAACTATGAAATTTGGCAAGTAATACCGTCTTATAATATAATAATAATATAATATATTCTACCACATACACACAACGCCATCTAGTCCCAAACTAAGCAGAGCTTGTAGTATGGGTACTAGACAACTGATATAAATACATATATACTTTTTTTTTGTAAATACATACATATTATACAAAGAAACACCCAGACCAAATCAAACATCAAATGTTCATGTACACAAATGTTTGACTTGAGCGGGAATCGAACCCGCTACCTTTGGAATAGCAGTCTGTTACACAAACTACTACGAAAATACAAGTATAAGAAAAAATCTGAAAACTACACATTTGTAATTAAATCATAAAAAAACAGGGTCTTATGCAAGTGTGGCGTTGCACATCACTACGCGTATTGCACATCACTACGCCTGTATTGCCTGTTACATCACTCTCCGACGCGATGACGTAGTTCCGCTACCGCGGGACGCTCTCTTGGACAGACGGTCAAAATAGTTTGGAACACAAAGACATGTCTCGTCCGATACCGTAGTTAGTAAGTGAACTGTATTGATGTCTGTAAATTCGCCATCGTGAATAATTAATATTATAAGGAATAGACACAAAAATCAAGTGTTTTCTTTTGGACTTCAACAAACCAAACAAGGAACGGCGGCCCAATTTAGAATTGAGTTAACCGTGTCATGTATTGTATGAAAGGGCTTCATTGGCACAAGCTTAAACAGATTTTTAATTATCTTTCTGATGTATAGTTTTGATTACCAATTTGTACGGAACCCTCGGTGGGCGAGTCCGATTTGCAGTTGTCCAGTTTTTTAAGTTGCAGTTCTCTCTTCTTCTTCTCTCCATCTGCTCGTTTGCCACCTGTACGATAAAATAATTGTTCGATCACGACGACTCGCGCTTGACTCTTTCTGGAGGAAAGATATTAGTTTCTCTTATAGCGATAAAAGTCGTTTAAATCGCCATAGGTCAAATTGACAACTCGACATAGGTCAAATGTGAATGGTGAATTGATCTTTGTTATCAACTCATTAAGCATAATTTTCTATGCAGTAATCTACTCACTGAAATAGTGTTTTATAAATATAGGTCCGTGTGGTGACGGATTAATAATACGGAATGTCACCCCTATTCATCCCGCGGGTGTTGTATAAGCCGACTAAGGGAGCAAACTACGCACGACAACAGCACTGCCAAGAGAAGGAAAACTTGACACAAACCCTATATCAACCCGTCTGGCCAGCGTGGTATAGTAGGCCGAAATCTCCTTTCTAAGAAGAGGTCTATGTCCAGCAGTGGACTATTAAAGGCTGTTGATGTGATGTGATGATGTGAAATATAGGTATAATAATAGGTATGTTGTAGGCGAATCATAGAATCGATCTTTTCATGGATAGTTAACCATGAGAGAGAAAGCAGACATTTAAATGGACTACGTTGGCTCAACCGGCATGATGTGGTATCATCGGCCTCACAGAAAACCTCTGTTAAGTAAAGATTTTGTTGCTTTCCACCTAGCGAGTGGCAGATGAGGCGAGGAGTATTGGCAAGACGTAAAGTGAAGTTAAACACGAGGCAAAGAACCAGTTGAGATGGAGACTTGATGTGAACGCTCTCTGACCCATTCAAGGGACATAGGACATTAAAGAAAGAAGAACATCCTTCCTCTAGCTTTCCTACTTCCTGTGAGAGTAGTTTCGTAACAAGGGACGGAAATATGTTACAGGAAACCGCGAAAACGCACGCTATTTGATTTGAGTTTACCAAAAGGCGCACGGTCATAGAATTTGCCGTCTGTTGAATATGCGACTATTGTAAAACTCTAAACTCTAGATTAGTTTTTATATTATTCACTAGCTTTTGCCCGCTTCTCTGCCCACATGTATCGGTTATTAAAAATCTACGTCTTTTCTCAAGAATCAAACAATCTCCATACCAAATTTTATCTGAATTGATTCAGCGGTTATTAATCCCCCAAACAAATTTCCACCCCCCTTTTCGTCCCCTTAAAGAATGATTTCTTGGATAAAAACTACCCTATATCCTTTCTCGGAACTCGAACTATCTCTATACCAAATTTCATCTAAATCGGTTCAGCAGTTTAAGCGTGAAGAGGTAACAGACAGACACACTTTCGCATTTATAGTATTAGTATCAAATTATGTTATTGTTTCGCATGCTTATAACAGACGTGACCACAATGTCAGTTTTGGGGTTAAATAAAAGTAATGGTGTGTTATTTTGTTTTTATTTACACTAAAAATTAAGACGCGCCCTTGTCAAAGTATAATGAAAAGACTAGATTATTACAAACGCAGACTCAGGCGCCGCGAACAGGGTTGAGTGATGAGTTTACACGTAGGACAGATCATACTTCATCAGAAATCGCCAGGCTCGACCGGAGTGATACTACAGCTTCAAAGAAAACCGGTGTTCAGCAATTTTTTGGTAACTTCCTAAAAGGCCGGGCAACGCGTTTGTGACTCCTGAGTAGCAGACGTTCATGGACGGCGATCGTCACTTTCCATCAGGTGACCCGTCTGCTCATCTGCCCCCTCTAACGTAAAAAAAAACTTTTCACCGAGTGAGTGCGGTTGCAAACTCCAGAATTGTGGGGGACTGGGGATTCTAGGAGGGGATCGTTGCTTTTAACCTGGGTGAATGAAGTTAATGGAGGCCCAACCTCACACGCCTGTTAACTCTTGCAGCAGCATCAGCAGTGGTCCCGTCTGCCCATTCGTACTCTATGTTATTAAAAAAAGTAACCTAAAAATCCTTTGGCGGGAGATTGCCATTGCAATAAATTAGTCTATGCTATTGGTGCTTTATTGCCATGATTATTGTAAAAACTGAAGCCGTTTGCGTTGTCTGCGAGAGGCTTCTGTGCATGTGTTGGTTTTTTATTATTGTCACAAACAGTCCCCTTGATGAGGTCGGTCACTTTGGCCCTGCAAAAAGAAAAAGAATGTGTGACGTCATCATATTTTCAAAATTATTTGTATTTTTAACTGACTTCAAAATGTAGGATTTTGACAATTTGGTCGGATTTTTTTATGTTTGTTTTCTCACGGTTCCGTCATTTGAATTAATTTGGAAAAATATTTTCTATTTGGGAGGACATAGGTACTTCTTACTTGGTTCCATTTAAATTTGAATATAACATACCTCCCCTTAAGACATTAAAAATACAGTTTATTACATTTTTTTAATTAAAAAGACAACTCCCGCATTATGAACATGTCTTGTGTTGCGGGAGACTTCACAAACGGACACAAAGAACACCCAGAATCAGTACAACAATTTGTGGATCACACAAAGCGTTGTTCCGAGACGAAAGCGGCGAGACCATGGCGGGCATCATCCGAGCAGTCATTATGGTGTAAGCGCATTGAAGTAATTTAGGTCTATTGTGTTTAGTTATTTAAAAGTTTATGAGCGTTGAGCTCTCTTGGACGCAAACCCAGACTGTGATTTGTTCGCCGATGATGAATGAAATGTTATAAATTAATAAGTAACCAACATTTTCAGTAGTCTTTTAAAAAACTTACCCTAAAACAAAGAAATTGTAAACGGACGGGTCCAATCTGGAGTATATAAAGTTGTGCATCTGATTCACTAATACGTAGACGTAATCGCCAGATACCTTTATATCTGAAACATTAAAAAATATTATTGAAATCTTGAATTTTTGGCAAGGGCAATAAAATAAATGACAATTTTAAAGCCATTTTACTAATACATCATGGCGTCATCATCAACAGCCTATACTAGTCCACTGCTGGACATAGGCCTCTCCTTAGAAAGGAGGTTTTGGCCTACTATACCACGCTGGCCAGACGGGATGGTATAGGGTTAGTTTCAAGTTTTCCTTCTCTTTGCAGTGCTGTTGTCCTGCTTAGTTTGCTCCCTTAGTCGGCTCTTACGACAACCACGGGATGAATTGGGGTGGTGACAATTTGTATTCTTTATCCGTCACCACACGGGCAAGTATAATAAAATAGGCAAAATATATTGATTTAAAAACTAGAATTTTTTTGTTCAATCGATAAGTGATGTAAATTTAACATTTTAAAGTTTCGCGCGTAAATTTCGAGTTTGCAAAACGCTTGTCTTAAGTCGTGGTGTCGTGTCGGCAATTAATTAAGTTTTGTACTTTGGAAGAACACAATGATATACCTTGGGAGAGCCATGCTTCCACTTCACGGGGAGGGGAAAGAGTGATACCCAAAAGTCAACAATGGATTAGCGTCTCAGCAGTTACAGGTGATGGACACCTATTGGCAGTCACTTACTATAGAGTACCCCGTCTGCTGGATTACTCCTTATATGAGGACAAAGAGTTGTAGCCATTCCTCTTAAATATAAAACAGTTGGTGGCATTCTAGGTAAGAGCTGAATAAGATTGATGAAATCGAAATTATGAGAAGAACATAAGAGGAGAAGATTATTTGTAGAGCGAAAATTTCTATAAGGCACAAAAGTAGGAGAAAGTTGGAAGATAAAGAGGTAGTACCACTCAACTTACCAGTAATGTATGCCAACCATTGCTGATTATGAGCCGCCAAAGCAGTTTGAGTAAGTGATTTATCCACGTTCCAACAAAGTATACCATTTTGGGCGATGTTGGCGAAGAGCAGGGTCCTGGTGGGGCCGTGGTACACGTGGGAGGCGCTCTGGGATAATAGTCCTCGAACTCCTAGCAGCTGTGAAGAATATTATAAACATTTGTGTGCAAGAACTTTTAATGTTTGATTTGGTCTGGGTGTTTCTAGTACCCATAGTACAAGCTCTGCTTAGTTTGGGACTAGATGGCGTTGTGTGAATGTGGTAGAATATTATTATTATTATTTTATAAGTAACATAATATTTCCTTTCGCTTTCCTCCAATTTTTGCGATGAAGATTGGATTTCCTGTAATCACATCATGACATCACATCAACAGCCTTTAAAAGTACTCTGCTGGACATAGGCTTCTCTTTAGAAAGGAGGTTTTGACCTATTATACCACGCTGGCCAGACGGGTTGGCACAATGTTTGTTTCAAGTTTTCTTTCGCTTTGCAGTGCTGTTGTTCCTCGTAGTTAGTTCCCTTAGTCGGCTCTTACAACACCCACGGGATGAATAGGGTGGTGACACTCCGTATTCTTAATCCGTCACCACACGGAAAATTCCCTGCAATAGTTTGGTTAAAAGGGACGGAAATGTGTGTAACAGTTATTTTTTGGTATATTTGTAATGCGTACGGTCTTGTTAAAAACGACACCTATTGGCCGCATCGCATTGTTGTTGATTTATCTAAAGTAGTTTGTAGCTACGGTATTGATCTTCTTCGTTCACAGTCGGACCACTAGATGGCGTTTGTTGTGGATAAGTCAGTTTATTGATTTGTCGTGACAAATTGCATAGGTATTGAGAGTGTTCTGTTATGGTAGGAGGCGAGTTACTTTTGATCTTGGTCGGGTTAATCCTCGTCGGTAATTTAAATGTCAAAGTAAAGTGTTGAGTAGGGGTTAATTTCTGGAAGCTTCGGGAACCGAAGATATATAAGTCCGGCTTTCAGCCACGGGAGACACTCTGCTATCTCGTGTCTTCCAATCTTAAATAGTGTTCTGATTGTTGTGTGATTTGATTTTCGTAATATATTATCTGTTCAAAAGTACCCACTAGAGTGGTGAGTATGGTCTTAATTTTCTTTTGTACTTATTTGTTTCTGGAACCTGATTAATTATATGAGTGCTAATCCATTCGTAGGGTCCCAGATTTCGGGGTCAAGACGGTCAGTCTCAGACGGCGTGCTTGCTCGTTTGTGGCTTTCTGGTTCAGACTCAAGTTTCTCGGTACCCTCTGGCAAGCTGGTGATTGCGCGGCTCACGACGCAAGCGGACAGCCGTACCCAAGGGTTACGTACTTACTTATAAACTTATAAATGCAAATTGTTGAACTTTTATCAATATCTAATATAAATAGCCGACTCGGGCGGAAGAGGAAGTAACCTCCTGGAGTGAAGACGAGGAGGCACCGAGCACCATCAGCTCGGCTCTGACGCGCTCCGCTGCGGGTTTTCTTATACCCTCTGTTTTTTTATTGTAACCTTAATTTTGTTTTTTTTAATTTAATATACATGTATGTATGACTGAGGTAAGTTGTTTTTCTCTAAGGGGTCCCATGGGTATCCCACACGCACACACTTCTGTTTATTAAAAGGCGCCCTGAGGTAATCTTGTGAATCTCTCCACTGGGTCAGCCGGTGAGTAGTCCGCCTGATAAGAAAAGCGGTTACATGTGTTACAGAGAGACCGAGGTCGGAGGATTATCCCTTTGTTTTGGAGGACATGACACCCGTTGTTCCACATGGGCAACATCTATCAAATGGACCCCATCCTTGGTTCCTTCCAATGCAAATTATAATGAAAAACTGTTCTGTCTGTACCCTACGTTTAAATTACCTTGAAGTTATTTTCAAAATCACCATTCTTGTTCTTCAAGATGTCGGTGGTTATGGAGAACTCCTGGGCACTTATGAACGGGTGGTAGTATGCTGTTCTGATGCCCCTGGAGTCAGGGTCTGAGAGGGCGATGCTAAAGATCCCGTCTCTCCAATTTATGGTATATTCTGTTGACAATAAACAAAGGATATTTAATTTAAAATTCTGTTTAATTGCAGTGGTACCTTTTACGTGTTTCACGCAGTGCCTGACAAAAACCGTTCTGCAACCGACATAAATAAAAATAAATGAAATAAATGTTATTTATGTATAAATACATACAGGTTATAGATAATTTACACCAAATTATCGTCATTTGGTGTGACTCTGCGTGTAATTTCACAAAATTGTTTGTTTTGGGTGGGGATCGAACCAACGTCCTCCGGTTTAGCCGTAAGGGTCACTAAAAACTAGACTAACCGTATTAGTACGCCTCTGCAGACCCCTCTGAGCTATAGGATAATTATACGTGTGTATGTATATATAAATACTAACCGCCCAAGTTAAATATGGAGGCAGGATCATAATTGAAAGAAGGATGTGAGAAACGCCAGCTGTCTCTCTCTTTCAACGAGAAGACTACGAGACCTCCTGTGGCCAAGTCGTTAATGTACGCGTACGCATTGTCGCAATTTGTTCGCGTCACGTCCACCGTAATGGATATAAAGCCTGAAAAAAATTAGAGACAAATAATTTGTGGCAGATAGTTAGCGCGGTTTTTATAGAAAAAATGTAGTCATAATTTAGTTTTATCACGAAAATAGGTGTTTGTTGGAAAATGTTTTACCAAGTATATTTGAGTCTAAATAAGTTATGACAGTTTTTTAACCGACTTAAAAAACGGAGGGTTTTATTTTTTGTGCGTTAACTCAAAACTCAATAATAAATATCAATAATAAACTTTTTTTTTCTTTATTCCTTAATTTGTTACCCTCAGAGGTGGTTTTTTTAAAGTTTGAACGTGTAGTATTTATTATTGTCTTTTTGAAGTCGTTTAAAATACATATAAATTCTCTTATCGCTCTTATTTAAAACTTAGTTCGAGGTACACACATACATTGAATCATAGCATATAGTTTGCAACAAATTCTTTGCAGAAAATAATCTGCGACTACCGCCTACCTGAAGTGGTTCCGTTAAATAAATCGCTTTGTTTGAACTGGTATCTCACTATCTCTTTGTCAGTCGCCAAATCGAAGACTATCACTTCGGGCTGCTTGATTTGCACTCGACTGTCTGGAAAACAAAGGTATATTTTTATTATCATCATTAACAGCCTTTAATAGTCCACTGCTGGACATAGGTCTCTCCTTGGAAAGGTGGTTTTTGCCTACTATACCACTATGGCCAGACGGGTTGGTATAAGGTTTGTTTCAAGTTTTCCTTCTCTTTACAGTGCTGTTGTCCTGCGTAGTTTACTCCCTTAGTCGGCTTTTAGAGACACTCTGTATTCTTAATCCGTCATCACACGTACTCTTAAGCTTCATAATATTAAAATTTACATTAAATTTATAAATACCTACATTATAACTTGCTTTTTTATGTTAGAGGGGGCAGACGAGCAGACGGGTCACCTGATGGAAAGTGACTGTCGCCGCCCATGAACGTCTGCAACTCTCTTACTTTGCTCAATTATTGTATTTTAGCCAGACGGGTTGCTATAGGGTACAATAGGATGTCCTCAGGGATCAGTGCTAGGTCCATACTTTTGGAATATCGTCTTCTTGCGATACCAATAGCGTCCGGATGTACTCCGGTATGATGACGGTTTATTTTTGTTGGAATCTAATACTAGGGCGGGGCTTGAGAAATTAGCCAATAGTTTGAACTTGATATCTCATTGGGGTGAACGTAATCGCTTAACTTTTGAACCGCACAACACACTACCGAGCATTAAATTTGACATTGTTACTGTAAAAAAAAAACCTCAGTGTGTTATTTAGGATTAGTTTTAGAAAGAAACTTTTCATTTATCGAACCTATTAAAATAGTTAATGAGTTAAACAGTCTAAAAAAGTCAGTTTAAAAAGTCTAAACAGAGTTTCTGTGCACATGACAACGATATCAACCAAGACATGGGGTCTATTATTCAGTACACTAAAGATCATATACGGAGCTACTTATTTAGGTTCTATGTGCTATGGTGCACCTGTATGGGCCGATAGGGCAACCGTAAGCGCAGTCCTCCGAAACTGTTACAAGGCCAACGACTTGCACTGATATTTGTGTACTTGTGCAAGGCATATAGGACGGTTAGCACTGAGGCCTTGCCGCTGTGTGCGGGTGTGCTTCTGTTCGATCTCGAGGTGCAGAGACGTGCAGCCATGTACTATTCAACACAACAAAACATGGAATGCGATTTGTTGGTCGCCCGAGATCGCGATAAAATTACAAGATCGCTTTAACAGCAGTCCGATGTCCATATTGACCTCATAGACGAATGGCAATGACGCCGGGACGAATCATCCAAGGGTAGTCGAGGACGTCTTGAGGTGGATGACTGTGTCGCTCAATTTCTTACAGGTCATGGTAACTTTAAGAGCAAACTGTATTCATTTAAATTAGTTGAGTCACCATTGTATCAATGCTCATGCTCAACTCTAACGGTGAACAGTCTGCTCATCATATTCGCTGGGAATGTAGTGTTTGATAAAATGAAGGCTTACAGGTGCCATCTGGGGCGGTATACTATGTCGATCTTGTGTCAACTAGGGTGAATTTCCGTGCGTTTAGGCGATTTTGCCAGACATATTGTAGAAATCAAATATGGCTCACTTAGGACCCATAATATTCTGTGACCGTAGTTCTTCCCTGTTTAAAAGGGTGTATGCCTATTTCACTTTATTTTGTCTCCCGTTTTGCTGAGGGCTGAAGTGGATTTATTGTATTTCCAACTCCTCCAATTTTCTTCTGATTAATTTCGTTGCGGGTTCCGGAACAGTTAATTTTTTTAATTTTTTGGTCACTAAAACGTTTTTGAAATGAAATTATGGGTCGGGAGGAATTGAGATAGGACTATAAAGGGAAAGAGAGATAGATTGGCAACGCTTAAATCCCAGTACAGTACTTATAGAGATGTGGGGTACATCTTCAAAATTGTGCTATTTTACCTACGAACCGGTTTCTACTTACTAGGCACTTCAAGCAGTCCAGTATCAACGAGCCAGAGTCTCCCGCACACGTCTACCCTCGGCCGATACACGGAGACGAATGAGATGACACTGTCCACGTCTGGGTAAGGCTTCAACAGTGGACTGCGAGTGGACTCCGCTGTTATGTCCACGTAGTTCAGTGTTGAGGGTATTCCTGAAAAATTAGAAATTAAATTTTTAACCGACTTCAAAGAAAGGAAGATTTTCAATTTGAAAAGAGGCGAACACATTTTGTTATACATTTTTTTTTTTTATGGTATGATGGAGATGAGATGGGTTAAAGCGGTATCCTCGCTGCTTCCTACTGCGGTCAGTATTGTAGGTTCGATCCCCACATGGGACACCACTTTGATCCACAAACTGTTGTTTGTGTGATCCACAAAGTCTAGGTATTCTTTGTGTCCGTTTCATGTATGTGTGGAAAGTCCCCGCGACACAGGATATATTTTTAGTGTAATAGTTATCTTTTTATCTAAAAAGAAGAAGATTCCTCACCAAATCTTCTTCTCGGGACAGTGATGAACATTCTCTTCTTGTGCACCTCGAAACCCACGGGCACATTATTGTACTGAATAAAGAATTGATCTTTGTCGTCTAATTCTTCTTCGAAGTATATACCGTCAGGGTTCCATTGTTTTGCTGTATCATTTACATCTGAAAGAATAATTTAAATATCATTCGTAAGCGCCAAGGGATTGAAGGTAAAGGTTTAGAACTCGTTTCCAGGCGGACCAGGTGCCGCAGGCGGCACAAGGGGCCTAGTTTAAGTTTATTTAACATCATCTTGCTCTCGACAGCGAACGCGTTGGGCGTTGTGATTGGTGGAGATTTCTGTGCAGGCCAATCGCAACGCCAATCGCGGTCTCCGGGACGGTCGAGTAGATGTGAAAAAAACTCTCACTTGCGCCTCAGGTACCGGTGGCCTGACGTGCAATTGAGCGCGCCCCCCCTTTCGGGGATAAAAAGGGATATCGCCTCAAGTAACTTACTGTATCCAAGTTATTTACATTGCAGTTTCATTTCGATACGACAATTACAAGTAGGTTAATAATGACTTATGATTTGTTTACTTAGGTACTCAGTTACTTTTGAGCTGTATAAAAATATTCAAAAATGCCTTTATATAAATAACTAAACGTATTTTTATATTACCCGCCTAAAATTATTGTTTTAATTTCTTGACATTGACATTTCAATGTCAAAACTAAAATTCTTGACGCCGAATCTGCCCGTCATTTTGTTTTTGTTTTATATACTTTCTATATAATCTTTAAGTTAATATGTAAAGAAAAATTCTACTTTTTTAAATGAATATCGTATACGGAAACATCGTTTATAAATTAGGTACTTAATTTTTTATATGTAGAAGTGCATAAAGCTAAAATTTATAAAATGGAGTATATTTTGTTTATAAATTTTAGCTTTATAAAGTTAAAAATTAAGTACCTATGTAACAAGATAAATCCTCTCTGTCTATATATATTACTAGCTGACCCGGCAAACGTAAAACGTAACGTTTTGCCATATACATTATTTCAAAAATTTTGACAAAAAAAAAAAAAATGGGTTATGAAAAATAGATGTTGGCCGATTCTCAGACCTACCCGATATGCACACAAAATTTCACGAAAATCGGTCGAGCTGTTTCGGAGGAGTTCAACCACGCACACCGTGACACGTGAATTTTATATATTAGATATACTTAGATAGAAGAGTAGAATGGTGACATCTTTGGGCAATATACGCCAAGTATTGAACTGTCCTGATATGATGAAGTACCAGTGCATTTTATAATAGACATTATTAAAAACAAACTAAATATTTCTTTAATAAACTTGAAGTTTGAATTATAAATTGCACAATGAAATGTATGTTATTTATTATGGTCAAAGTTTGCCACTAGAATCTTAAGCAATGATAAGATAGATACAAAATTACAAAAATAAATAACAGTACTTACATTGCACCCCGTTGAAATCAAATCCCAACTGCTTCCAATTATACCCAAATAACATTTTATTAAAATTGTTATGTCCCCAAGATATTTGGCCATTATTATAATTAATAAATAAACACAAAAAAATAAACAACATGCATTGAATCATTTTATTACCGCGCGACAGGTTTCTATACTGTCGCAGCGAATACTGGTTTTTTAACCTCGTCATAAACTTAACTTGTGTTCACAGCGTAAAAATAAATAGTTAACTGTTTTAAATTATTACCGACTTTAACTCACATACGAAACAAGCTGTATATTTTTCTTTCTTCAGAATTTTTTTCTTCAAATTAAAATGGGCGCAAACGGGAAGATCCCAAATCCATACCTAGATTATGAATGCGAAAGTGTGACTGTCTGTCTGTTTGTCTGTTATCACACTTAAACCGGATAACCGATTTAATGAAATTTAGTATAAATATAGTTTGAGTACCGGGAAAGTACATAGGATAGTTTTTTTTCCCGAAATCATCCTTTAAGGGGCTGAAAAGGGGGGTGGAAGTTTGTATGGGGAATTAATAACCGCTGAACCGATTCTAATGAAACTTGTTATGGAGATGGTTTGATTCTTGAGAATGGACATAAGCTTTTTACCGCGATTACCAACATACACGCGGGCAGGCCGCGGGCAAAAGCTAGTAAAAAAAATAATCCAAATTGGTAAAGGAGTTCTGACGTAATTAACTTTTTTTTCTTATTTATAACTTCACAAACTAGGCAGATCATCAGGTAAATAGGCTGCTACTTTAAATATTTATATATTTCTAAATACATACTTAATATGTGCGGTCCAATCGCTACGTCAAACGCCGTCACCGTGACGAGTGAGGTGATGTTAAATGAACTCGCTATTGGGCCATAAAAAAGAAGCATCTCTGTGAATAAGCCTTTACCAAAACAAGTTATCTTTTTAATATGATAATAAGTTAATGTGAATAACTGTGGTGGGGAACACGTTTTAATAAAGGTCAAATTAAAATAAAAGTTTAAACAATTTAATGCAAGATAGCCGTTTGTTTTTTAATCAGATTTTTTTTAAAGGAAGACGTTACATTGTTTTTTATGTTTGTTATATCAGAGAGCCTAGTGTGACTTTATTTAGGGGCCGTTGGAGGACCTAGTGTGAGTCTCTTTCACTTTAACTCAACCGTCATGGGGCGCCGCGGTGTACATACATTACAGGAGCGATTAGAGAGCCAATCACTCACACTAGGTCCACCAACGGCCTCTAATCTCAAAATACCAATTAGCTCGTATTAACTAAAATATACACTTCGAATATTAATTCCTAATATTAGTTACTTCCCTGGTTTTGAAACGAGGATCATAAATAAATAAGACACAAAGAAGGTAAATATGTTTAAATACGTAATTAAGTAGTTTTGACGTGACAACGTCTTGTAATTCGATGGAGCCGGCTGCACGCACGAAAAAACATGACTCATGCGGCGTTACCTCGCTCTGAGGCGTTCCATTTAAGGCGTGAAGTGCAAGCGAGAGCGCGGAACGAGTGACAAAGAGGCACAATCGGCCTCCGCGTTCGGCAGCTTTCGACATCTGTCTCTCTCCTACTTGAGTGAGCGATGCGTCCGCGTGGACAGCTGCTACTCGTATACAATAATATATTTTTGAAAAATGCAACCATTCCATCAGTATTTTCTTATGACGTTGTCACGTTCAACTATCGTCAGTAAACCGACTTTACAGACAACCGATTTTTTAATATAAAATTTAAGTTTTAATATGTAGACACTGGCAATAAAATATATCTACATTTAAATATATCCTGGTCGTCAAACTCCGATTATAATTTTATTCATATTTTTAACAAAACCTATTACTCGTATAAGTTAAACAGTCATTGACCGCCGTGAATGCAGCTGTTTTGTGTTGTCAGCTGTTTTGTGTTGACAACAAACGCAGAATGACCTCCGTCCTCCATAAGCGCAGGCCTGGGGGTGGTAGATGAGGTCATCTGTCACCCTAGCAGAAGCAGGCCGGGGTGGTGGCGAGACGCGCTGCGAAGTGGCGCCCTTTCGGGAGCACAAAAGGGACATAGGGGTTCCCACACAGGAGGGCCCACTGGTCATTTACACGCCGTAGATGGCCCGAGTCACGTCGGAGATTTCGTTCCTAGGGTACACCTGGTTCCCCGGCAACTGGTACCCGAGACGGCGTGCGGTTTTTGGTCGGTTCGAGTCCGACATAACCACCGGTGGGTGGTATTAGAGGGGATTTCCGCACAGAAAAAAAAGAGGTGTAATAACAAAATATCTGGTCAGGTTTTACATGTTTAATTAGTTGTGTAAATGTTTAGTTAATTTTCCGTGTGGTGACAGATTAAGAATACATAGTGTCATCACCCCTATTCATCCCGTGGGTATCCTAAAAGCCAACTAAGGGAGCAAACTACGCAGGACAACAGCACTACAAAGAGAAGGAAAACTTGAAACAAACCCTATACCAACCCGTCTGGCTAGCGTGGTATAGTAGGCTATGGCCTACTATACCACGCTAGCCAGACGGATTGGTATATGGCCTTTAATTGGCAGCCTTTATTTCTTTTAAGGAGATTTTAATTAAGGAGAATAAAAGGCTGTTCATGATGATGATGAGTAGACTGCAGTATAATAGGATGCTTTTTATCGTAAATAAATTCGGAAATATCTTAACATTATTCAACATTAAATACGTTTTTATTGTCTAAAGTAGCTCCGCGTGAACGCCATAAAGCCGCAAAAAATACTGTGCCTGCATCATTCTTTCATTATTTTAAAGGCGCTCGTGTGTATAGCCTAATTTAGACGTACAAAATTATTGTAGTGTGGTAATCCTCGTGAGTGACTTCCAGGGACTGTAGAAGATTCCAAACAAATCCATACTTTTCTTTTAAGTATCACGATCAAAAATATATTAACAAAAATGACAGTCACAAAATTTCTCTGGTTTCCCATTCACAGTTTTGTTCTCAGCAGCCATAATAATATAGCCTCAGTACTGATGAGGCGGGAGCCTTGTGCCTTCAGTGTCTGCCCCTGTTACTTATTATTAGTTAATTATGGTAAAGCATACGCTCACAGGAAACTGCCCGCGTTTGAATTAGAAAGGGTAATTGTGAGGACTGAGGGGAATATGCGGTATAAACACTTCCTCATAACCTTTGAGAATTATAACCTCGCTGGTATTTCTTCGCAGTGACTCGAACTTTTTTAACTCCGTGATGAAATATGTAGATTGTATAGAATAAGGGCATTCTAAGTATTGAAATTCTTATCATAAAAGATTTTATATATTATGATACAATCATTTATTTTAATATATGAAGTAAAGCCGGGTTAGTTATGTGTTACAATTTTTATTTGTTTTTAAATTGAACTGTTTAAAGAGACATCTATTGTCGATTAGCAGTACTACTAAATACAAGCTTGTCTCTAATCTTCATAGGTGGCGCTAAATGCAATTTTATCTGTTGATAGGTATTTTATTTAACACCTACTGGCTTAGATTGATCTTATGTTTTTATATTATAAGTGCAAAAATAAGGTGATATAATAAACAAAGAATTGTGTTATAAATGGTGTGGTGAAAACTACCTTTTGTTCTACTCGTTTACGATGAGAAAGATGAGATACAAAAAAGATGTCGGTTTTGTTTCACAGAATCACTAAAGATGATATTTTAATTACAATTCGAATAATATAACACGCATAAGGATGAAAAATTACGAACTGAAGTTAATTTTATTACAATACAACATGATGTATTTGCTTTGTAATGAGATTTGATTGAGTGAATCATTAACTGCCAATATTAATTACTAACTAATCTTTTCTTTACGAGAAATGGAGAAAACGGAGGGCGTGTGTTGGACTCCCAGAGAATCCACTGAACCCCGTGGCGGTAACTATAACTATTCCAGCTATGACTGACGCACATCCCGGGGTGACCAGAGCAAATTTGTCTACGCCTCTCAAAAGGAATCAATATCTTTTGTGCATTACAATGAAAGGAAGGCGCCGAAGGTCGTCACGTCGTTCATATTAGGACGGCTGACAACGTTTACTATATCAACTTAAAGTAAGCCTCAATATTGTAATTCAAATTTTATATTTTTATTTTGTATATGACCAGTTTATGTAGGTATCTAATTTGTTTACATTTTGATTCCTATATTTTTGAAACGAAGTCCCTTATCCCGCGCAACAAGGTCTGAGCGGATGGGAGTAAGACTGAAAAATGTGTAACAAGACTTTTTGTCGACACTCCAGTTGCCGCGTCGACTATATTTATATATTATTAGATATAAATATATCATATTTATGTATAATAAGTATGTATTTACAAAAAAAAGTATATATGTGTTTATATTACTAGTTGTCTTAGCGCTGTGCCGAGTAGGGCTTGACTCGAGTCAGACTCGATTCCTGCTTTAAACTCGCTTATTCGAATACCAATTTATTTTGATTCGAGTACGATTCTTGATTCCGGCACTCGAGTCAGGAAGAATCGAATTTGTACTCGTCGACTCGATTCTGTTTAACGATTCCATGTGACTCGAATCTAGCATACGAGTTAGGTTGACTCGCTCGTACTCGCTATCTGTTTACGTAAGCAATGATGTGACGCCTTTTTTTTTGTTGTTGAGGTGGAAAATCCCTTCGGATCTCCTGCTCCTCGGTTACTATGAGCCAGGAGTATGTGGTGATTCCACTAAAAACCACCCCGACGGCCGGCCTCAGGTGTCCTACTCTGGGGAAGACCCATCATCATCATCATCATCAACAGCCTTTAATAGTCCACTGCTGGACATAAGCCTCTCCTTAGAAAGGAGGTTTTGGCCTACCATACCACGCTGGCCAGACGGGTTGGTATAGGGTTTGTGTCAAGTTTTCCTTCTCTCTGCAGTGCTGTTGTTCTGCGTAGTTTTTCCCTTAGTCGACTCTTACAACACCCGCGGGATGAATAGGGGTGGTGACAATCTGTATTCTTAATCCGTCACCACATGGACTATGTTAT